TGGTATGGAGTTGGTAACGAGAGGTATGAATTTTTTCTCAAAAAATATTGAAAATTGATATCATTTTGTAGAGCATAACAAACTCGTTCCATCTGTGAAAAAAATTTGAAATCTGAGTTAGAATGAAGAAGATATGATCCAATCAAAAAAACTAGTGAAAATAAATTTCTTTAATTCTCCGCCCTTAGATCTGCAGCTACCTAAAAGAAGGATCCAGATTTGGTTACTCATAATTATGCACCCTAAGATTATGGATCCTATATTGAGCCATTTTAAACCAAATTGCCACCTACTCCTAAAATTTGTATGTGCTCTCTTACTAAGCTATACATGTTTTAACAATCTTATTTATGTTTTCTAGGGCAATATGAATTTACTCCATCCCATGCAATGAAGATTTTTCTTAACCTTCATGGTCCTTATATTCATCCTCTATTGAACGAATAAGTTGTATCATGGAATCAACCCTTATTATGTGTTTTCATTGCAATTGTTTTCCTATCAACTGCTTCTACATACTGTTTCATATATAGGCATTTTGAGTTTAACGATTACATTGCAAATCTTAAATATGAGAAGGTAGCTGCTATGTGTGACTTCTGTGATGCCAGAGACCTTATTTACTTTTTACTGGATTCCCAAAATATGGTTATTAATTGTTCTAGTTTCTTATTTTTATTGTTCGTCTTTCCCACCATTTTGGACGTGTGACATAGTTCAACACTTCGTGGTGCACTACATACAACTTACACCTCATTGTGTTGAAGTCCTTGCGCATACGAGGGTTTCTATTTGGAATGGTTATTTGTAACTAGAAAAGTAATTAGAAATTGACTTCTGTTGAGGAGGACGAACAAATATTTTGTATTACATGTTATAGTAAATTCTCCTCTGGACTCTAGATACAATTAAGATATAAGATGAGTATTGAAATAAAGATAAAATTTGATGTGCCGAATGGATTGGATTGATGGAGCGGTGGATTGAGTTAGCAGATTCAAACAAATGAATTCATGGATTCAAGAATTAATTAAATGAATGGGTGGATTGGATTGGATTCATAAATTCATTTATCCAACTAACTTTGAAAATTTTGACTATTATATCAACTTTTGCAAATTTCAGCTACTTAAAGGCCATTATTAGTAATATAATATAAGTACCAACACGTAATTTGTAAATAGTATTCCCATTCATAATTACCCATTACTTTTACAATGTCATTTATAAATAGTATTGGTACTAAAATTTAAATTAAAAAATGAATCCATCAATTAAGTAATCTTTGGGTTTAAAGGATTCAGTTAGTTGCATTGTTTAGTAAATGTAATGGATTAATGGACTCGAGTCAAATATAAATTCCTTACAAAAAGAATTGAAAATGTGCATTAAGGGGATTTAACATATATTACATGAACATATCTCTATTACAAACTCTCCCATGCACTCATTACCTTGGGGAATTCATATAATTTCAATTGCTAAACATTTTTGTTACAACTCTTTTTTCTATAATTGATAGTGACTTTATGTGAAACATTCTAACCCGGTCAGGTACTATTTTTACCAAAATGCCCTTTATAAATCATGAAAAAAATAAGAATTGAAAATACCTGGGGAAAAGAAAGTAGCGGAAATTTTCATAAATAACTTTAACAATTACTGAGAATAAACTGTAATTTATTAAAACAAAGCCCTAACACTTGAGTGAACCTCAATCATAAAATCTTAAACTGAATCTCCAGTCTATACTCATAATCATAAAATGAAATAACTAAAAAGTCTTTAATGATGCCGCTTACTGAAAACCTTGACTAGGCATCCTCCATGACGTTCAAACCGTCCTCCTCTAGTTGGCTTGCCTCAAAAGTGAATGGTTTTGAAAGCTCTTTTGTGAGAAGGATCAATTGGGTGTCGCTTCCCCCTAACTACTACCATGGTATGTTATTTGAAATGATTGCTATGGGCAAGGTGATCGCGAACCGCTAGGGGATTCAAATATGGTCGTACGCCACACTCACGATTGTTAAACTGAGGAATACATTATAGGCTGTCACTTGGCCCTCTCGGTTAAGGCAATCAATGGTTGACTTACTCCCTCACTCAACCCAAGGGTTGGAAGGCTCAATTGCGCTTAACAAAATTGCTTAATCCAACATTAAGGTTTGCCCTAAATTAACCTAGTTAGGAGACTTAAAAAGCCCTAGGAATACCAACTCAATTGAGTCTTTTGGAAGGGGGATTTTCCTCTCTAATCTAGGTTAAGTGGCTAATTAGATTGCTAAGCACAAACATGCACAATTGATTCAGGCACAAATGTATACATTTTACCCCTCATTTCTTATTCGTTTAGCTTAGTATTTCATCGTTCGTCGACATATTTCACGCTAGGTTGTGTTTGTTTTGATACATTTCAGGTCCTAGCACGTGTGGAAGGGTCGAGGTCGAATTTTGAGATAATTGGAGGTCAAAAAGTGCAAAAACCAAAGAAAATTCTGAAGTCACCACCCAAAAAAGCCTTTTCCCCATGTCCTAGACCCTAGCCATTCATTACCTGTGTCCGAGACCTGATTCTCACCTAATTGCACATGTTTTGCCCCTGTTTAACTTAGGTGTTTGTGCCAAATTCACTCCTAAAAGGTTGGTTTTGCGGTAGGTTCCTCGTGTTATAGTGTGTTTCAGGATTCAATAGGTGAAACCAGCCTCGGACTCGAAAGTTGGGTGCAAAGGATCGAAAAACAGGAGAAGAGGTGAAAAAGGGTCAGTTCACGGCTTTCCTAGAAAGTTCACAGTCATGCAAGATCGTGAATAACAGTTATAGTGTGTTTCAGGATTCAATAGGTGAAACCAGCCTCGGACTCGAAAGTTGGGTGCAAAGGATCGAAAAACGGGAGAAGAGGTGAAAAAGGGTCAGTTCACGGCTTTCCTAGAAAGTTCACAGTCATGCAAGATCGTGAATAAGAGCCCTTGACCTTGAACCGAGATGCGTCCAAAGTCAAAACAGAGGTTACCGACGCATAGTAAGTTCATGGTCACTAAGACCGTGAACGAAGGCAGTTGACCGTGAACAGAAGTGAACGATGCGGTGCGTTTTGGAGCACGCCTGAAGTTCACGAACACGTTTCATGGTTCACGGCCGTGAACTCAACGCGTCTCTAGTTTAAAAGATGAGCTGAAAGTAGAATAGAGGGGAGATCTCATTTTGTGTGAGAAGCCTTCTTCAGAATTCTAGAGAGAGAAACACGAACTAAAGGGAGTATATCTCCTTTCACTTGGGTGTTGTGAAACCCTAACTCTACCATGTAGTTTCTGTTATGTGTATTGGATGATTGTCATTTGGTATTGTTCAATTCAATGATTGAGGCATTATTTATCATGATTGTGCATGCTTGTGCTTAGCAACCTAAGGGTTGTGCATGTTTAGTGCTTAGCATCCTTTGGTTTGTGCATTTAGGTTCTTAGCAACCTAAGGATTGTGCATAACTGTGGTTAGCACCCTTAGGTTTGTGCATGTTGGTGCTAGCAATCTAATTAGCCACTTTAGCGTAGCTTAGAGAGGAAAATCCCCCTTCTAAGGGAGACTCAATCGGTGTTGGTTTTCCTTCCGCTTTCTAAGCCACCTAACTAGGTTAAGTTAGGGCAACCCTCAATGTTGACTTAAGAAAATCGGTTAATCTCGATTAAACCGTCCGACCTTTGAGTTGAGTGAGTGAGTAAGTCAATTATCGATTGTCTAAAGCGAGAGGGTCGAGTGAAACGGCCTTTCATGCTTACCTCGGTTTAGCAATTGAGATTATGGTCTCCGAACATATATGCATCCCTCGGTGGTTCGCGATTACCGTGTCCAAAGAAATCATTCCAATTCACATATCATGGTAGCAGTTAGGGTAAGCGACACCTGAGTGATCCTTCCACAAAAGAGTTTCCAAAACCATTTACCTTTGCCTTTTTTTCTTTCAATTAGCAAACCTTTAAACCAAAACTTTGTTGCTAGATAATGATTACAACAAATGAAGTAGGGGTAGACTGACTGGCCCGAGTCGATATCGAAATACTTGCCCTATACTACACCCAACTAGTGTTTAAAAATTTGGGCTCTAGTTGGGATTTTATTATGGTGTAGTTTCGTGCTAGTCAACAACCTAAGCGATTGAAGTAGGGGTACATGGATCGGCCCGGGTTGACAATTTAAATACTTGCTCTATACTGCACCCGGTTAGAGTTTAAAAACTTGGGCTCTAGTCGGGATTAATTTGTGGTGTAATTTCGTGCAAGTCAAGTTTTTGGCTCTAGCTGGCTAGCCTCGAACTCGCTTCTCACTAACTGCTCCTCTAGATCCTCTAGCTCCTCAAACTTGTGAGTGAGATGGGGTCAGTCTACGCCCTTACGTTTAACATCTTATTAAAGCTTGAGCACTTTACTTAACTATGTGGAAGTTGATTTGTACTTCCACTATGGAAAAGCTTAACTCTTAAAACTGTATGGGAGTTACTGTTACTCCATTCTTAAATCTCAAAGCTTGACTTAAATACTTGACTGACACGGGGATCCCTCACTAACTAGTCCGGTTGTCAACTCATACGCATGAGAAGCCATCCAGGCTTTCCTTAAACTTAAACTTAGTTAGGGAAGTCGTAACGATTCATCCCCCTAACATCTTAAACTTATCGTGGTGGCTCTTCACTACGATTCTCAAGGGCATAACTGCTGCCCATCTTAAAAGTCTCAAGAGCATAACGGCTGCTCTATCTCAAAATGTCTCAAACGGCAACGGACTGGCGCTAGTGACTAAAAACACTTAAAACGACTTCACCTTCTTGAAGATGAGTTACTTCTTAAAAAGAAATTGTTTCTTTAACTTTAACCATGACATCAAATCATAGCTCAAGCAAAGCACAAATAACCAATCATACACATAATCAACAAATGGTAACCAATTCGCTAAAATACTTAAAAATCATAATACTTAAAAGAATAAGTAAGGCGTAGAATTTACCCCCTTTACACTCACCTTTTTATTCTGATTAATTGACTAAATTATTAACCTTTATATGCTGCAGAACCTCAAGCCCTTCTTTTTGCCTCTTCGCATTGCTAGGACACATCTAGCTCAATTTATCATTTCTCACAGAGAGCATGTATGATAATCCAATATGTCCTTGCTTTGCTCTTTACATCAACCTAAAATCATGAAATATCATGCGCCAATCGTTACCAGCCTTCCATCAATTATTCGATTAAAGTTAAATCCCCTTTAACTTATTGATACCACCATTTTCCTCGCATACCAATTTCAAAGACCAAAGAACCCACTAATTCAATTTCACTTCCCATATCCCCCAACATCATTAGATGTAATTTTTCACAATCCTCCTCACTCAAATGCGCCTCCCATTTCCGTATAATTATGCTATGACCATTCCATAAATTTCAAGTGTTGCTATTATACCTATACACGTACAATCCCAACTTAGACAGCACCCAATGATTATTTTCCAACCTCGTCCTATTAATTACTTTAATTATCCATGTTCACCCAGAAAAACACCATAATCGATGAAGGCCTACAGAGCTTTAGCCCTTACCTTAGCCATCGATTCATTGAAGCCTCCCCGGAGGGCCTCTATCCGTCAGAGCTTGTCATCATCTTCCCCATGGTTGGTTCCAGCCATCATTGTTGTCCCGCTACGCCTCGTTCAGTCGCCATCATTGTTCATCTCTCGCTCTCGGGTAAGGCTAGAGGAAAAGAGAGGGATCGTAGCGGCACTGGTGCAGCCTTCTCTCTTGGCTTGCGTTCCGTAATTCCTTCCATTCCCAAGCAGGAAACTAAGTAGACCTCCAATCCCCCACTTTGTACATAGTATCTCAGGTGCAGAACAAACTCGCTAGGAAAGCTTGTGAGAAGTCTAGAGCATAGGTACGCCTTCTCCTTATAGCTTGAGCTTTCCTCGAATTCCAACGGGAGGAATAATCATCTCCTGTTGGCAATTGGGTGGCGTTGGAGGATCTGGAGGGCGGGCAGGCTGTGGCCGGAGACTGGGAGGTGGCATGGCGCGGTGGTGGCGGCAGGTTTTGGCGGTTTGCTTGGCAGAGAGCGGCTGGGGGGAAACGAGCTCTCTGCTTGTTTGTTTCCTCTTTGCAGAAAGTTTCCATCGGGTGGGGGATTAAACCCGAGGGATTTACTTGTTTTAGTTAGTGGTGACAGTTGAGGCCGAGTGGTTAAGGGATTTAGGGTTTTAATTGGTCCAAGGGTATTTGTGGAATTCACAGTTGCGGGTGAGTTTAATCCGAAACTCAATTAATGCCCGTAACTTTCTCATTTGATGTCGAAATTCGACGCCGCTTGAACCGATAGTTCCCATTTTTAATCCTCATCGACAATACGGTGGAACTTGACACAATGGTATAATAGTTATTTTGACTTTTGGGAACAGCGGGGTGTGACGGGGAAGGAGAAAGAAGAGGGTGAAAAAAGGAAGATGAAGATGAAAGCCTCGAGGATGAATTGGAACGGTCGGAAGTTGTCACAGATGTCCACCGTGATGCTTGAGACTTGGAATGTCCTCTTGAGGAAGCCACCACTCTTCCATATTTTAACCCAAGCCTTGGATAGGTAGTTCTCAATGAGGAGATGAGTGTCGAGTCAATCGAAGACATAGCTTTGAGACTCGCTATTCAATGCTTTCTTGCGGAAGAGCGAGGAAATATGAGGAAACAAGAGGTTGAAGAGGAGGAAGATCTTGAGTGTTCCCAAAGGGCAGAAATTGATGAAGAAGGAAGGGAGGTTGAAGAAGAAAAATAAGGTTAAAGTGGAGTCCAAGATGAGGACAAGGTGAGGTGGATGAAGCATCCACAAGTTACAAGGGTTATGAAAGCTTTCCACCCGACCACGATGCACTTTTGGAGAAGGACCCATTTGCGGCTCTTTTCCAAGCCAAGGCCAAACCATCGGTGATCCCTCTTGGTGGATGCGATGGTGATATATCGATGAAGAATTGCATGGTATGGGGCAAGGAGAAGAAGAAAGAAGGAGAGGTCTCGTGGGTGGAGCCTCAAAACCACTCAAGTTCACGAGCCCTCAATCATGGACTCGTCCAATGATCGTGACTGGAGACATCACCTCACCAACGAGAACCTCAACTTCAAGGAGGTTCTTGGGTGGACAGAAACTTGAAGAGCAACCATCCGGCTCACGATGTTAAAGAAGCGTTTGGTGGGAGGCAACCCAACCATCAACGGTTTGCATCTCTTTTCCTTTCAATAAGATGATCAATGAAGAGATTTTAGTGGTGTTTTTTCGTCTCCTTGTTCTTCCGGTTGTCACCCGCCCTCCGCTCCCGAGCACAAACATTCACAACTTGACTGGTAACATCGTTCAATCCCCTTTTTTTACGCCAATGAGGGCAATGTCGAGTTTAAGTGGGGGGGGGGGGTAGTCTATTATGCATGTTTGTGTGAATGATTGGTGTGATTTTGAATGCTTTGGAGCCTAGATGTATGCCCAGATTTTTAAAATTTGAGGGCTCCAAGCATAACAACTTCTACATTTGCATGATCATAGTGGCATATTGTGGTGATTTGTTTTGAATCTCGTGGTTATTAGCATGGTCTATGGATTATTAGCTTGTGATTGTGTGCAACCTATGATGATGACTGAGACATGTATTAGGTTTGTGCATAGGTTCATTTCTCATGTGTTTGTGAACCGATTGATGTTTTGAATCGGTTACTTGCTTTTCCTAGTTGCCTATGCATCGAGTTTAGGAGTTAGAACGAATGATTGAGCACCTAGGTAGCCATGTGAGACTTGTGTTGTTCGTTTCATTCTTGTGCGATAGTTCCCCCTTTACATGATGTGTAGCATTCATGTTGTTTCTAGTGAGGAAGATGGATGCATAGGTTTAGTCCACGACACAAATTTTGACCGTCCCAATCTCAGTATCCCCTAGTCATTCCTTTTGAGCCGTATTTCTAAGGGTCGCTCTCATTTTAGGTAGATCTCACTACTTGAGCTTGATTGATTTAGATAGAACGACCCTACATTCTTCGTGTCTACACCGTTATCGAGTCACCCTTTTGATTTAGAAGAAAAGAGAATGGCCACCAAAAATATAATAAATGTTGAACATGCTCTTAGAAGTGTTGCTTAGCATGCAAGCTTTAGGAACACTTACATGTTGTTTGCCTACCACACTCTTGTGCTTGAAATTGAATAGCAAAGGTAGCAAGAAAGATTGTTGCAAATGGTTTGGTGATTGGTTGTGGTTTGTAATCGAGGGAAGAATTGTTTTTGGCCGATGCTAGTGGCCATTGAGTATAGGAGAGGGTTCTAATCGAAACCTTAGAATCTTTTGTGGTTTTAGGATGGAAATGTGGAACCTTGTGCTATGTTTGCCACCACCCTAAAAGCCTTTTCCTCATGCCCTAGACCCTAGCCAGTCATTTGAACCTATGTCCAAGACCTCTGGACAAGCTAGCAACGACACCCATCTTGTGAGCTCTAACATTTAGAGGCAATCGTCATGGTAAAGGGACGTTAGGATTGAGCATGAATATGCACATATTTTGCATCAAATGGTCCTGACCCCACTGGTCGAGAGTGAGCGATTCTTCATCATGTTTTGTTCATTTTTTTTTTTGATGAATTGTTTTGTTCATTTCTTTTACCCCGGTTAGGACCTAGGTTGCTCGATCGTTCGTTCCTATGATGTGATCTTCATGCATGAGTAACTGTGATTGGTGAGCCGTCGAGGCATGTTGTGTGTTGGTTGATGAATAACGTGATAACTCTTCTTAATACAGTTGAATGTTGTTTGTGGTGGTTGCCAAGATTACTTTGTTTTTGTCCATAGGTCGGTGTCAAATAACCATTGTGATTTATTCCTCTTGGGCCCTATGAAATGCCTCGAAAATTGTGTTGAAAAAGAAGTTGTAAGCTTACCTTGTTTTGTACTTGGTTTGCTTGGGGACAAGCAAGCGTCTAAGTGTGGGGTGTGATTCGGACCCAAATGTACACATTTTCCCCTTCATTTCATATTTGTTTAGCTTGGTATTTCATCGTTCCTAGACATATTTCATGCTAGGTTGTGTTTGTTTTGATACATTTCATGTCCTAGCACGTGTTGAAGGGTCGAGGTCAAATTTTAGGATAATTGGAGGTCAAAAAGTGCAAAAATCGAAGAAAAGTCTGAAGTAACAATGAAGTGAAGGCGTCCCAGAAAACATTCGCAGTTCACAGCCGTGAACTTTGAACACAAACCGTGAAGACCGAGGCGTCCAGTGAGGTTCCTGAAGTTACTGACGACAAAGCAGTTCACGGTCTCTAAGACCGTGAACTGTAGCCATTGACTGTGAACCCAGGAAGCAAGGCTGTGCATATTGGAGACGACTGATTTCATGGATCGTTTAGCTGTTAACGAACGTGTACTGGCCAACGCGTCCGTGAACTGAAAGCTTTCGGAAAAATATGAAGACAACAGCGGGGAGAGAGAAATGGGAGCTGGTTTTTAGAGAAGATTTGGTTTCTCTCTCTAGGGTTTGCCCAAAAACACCAAAGGGGAGTTCTAATGAGAGAGAGAGAGTGTGTGTGTTAGAGAGATCTTCATTGGAGGCTTTGGTGGAGATTCAAGCCTAGAAGAAGAAGAAGAAGATCTTGAGCTCAAATTTGTAATCCCTCTCTCTCTCTAGAAACTCACTCTTTTCTCTTGGGCGTTGTAGATCCCTAACTAATACTTTGTAATTACTTGTTTAGATTGAATGATTGTCATTTGGTATTGTTTAATGCAATGATTGAGGTATTATTCATGTTGATTGTGCGGGCTTGTGCTTAGTAATCTAAGGGTTGTGCATGTTTTGTGCTTAGCATCCTTAGGTTGGTGCATTTTGGTGCTTAGCAACCTAAGGATTCTGCATAATTGTGCTTAGCATCCTTAGGTTTGTTCATGTTGGTGCTAGCAATCTAATTAGCCACCTTAACATATCTTAGAGAGGAAAATCCCCCTTCCAAGGGAGACTCAATCGAGTTGGTTTTCCTTCAACTTTTTAAGCCACCTAACTAGGTTAATGTAGGGCAACTCTCAATGTTGAATTAAGCAAATTGGTTAATTGCGATTAAGTCGTCCGACCCTTGAGTTGACTGAGGGAGTAAATCAACTACCGATTGCCTAAACCCAGAGGGTCGAGTGACATGGCCTATAATGTTTACCTCGGTTTAGCAATTGAGATTGTGGTCTCCGACCATATATGCATCCCTCTGCGGTTCGCGGTTACCTTTCCCAAAGCAATCGTTCCCATCCAACGAGTCTTGGTAGCTAGTTAGGGGGAAGTAACTCCAGGGTGAAGCTCCCTTAGTTAATTTTCCTTTATTTACTTTTCTTTGCTTGTTTAGGTTGTAGTTTCATTAGCTCTAAACCCAAAAGTTGTTTGCTAGATAACAATCTAAGTGATTGAAGTAGGGGTACATGGATCGGCCCGGGTTGACAATTTAAATACTTGCTCTATACTGCACCCGGCTAGAGTTTAAAAACTTGGGCTCTAGTCGGGATTAATTTGTGGTGTAGTTTCGTGCGAGTCAACAACCCTTATATTTTTAAGCAAAGGCATGCACAATCCTTAGATTGCTAATCACAAACATGCACAATCAACATGAATAATACCTCTATAAGAAGCACGCTTCTTCGAGTTTCTTACGGTTAACGTAACTGGATAGATAGAAGGGATTTTTGGGGTTGAGAATAGAAATTAGGGATTTAGAAGAAGAGATTAGGGATTTAGATGAGAAAGAACATAATAGAATTGGGAATCGGACGAGGCCTTGGATTGGGAGATAATAGAAATTAGGAGTTGAGAGGATAAACTAGGGTTTAGGAGATTCTTCTTAATATTGTTCTTGATTGATTATGACGTAAACACAAAGTACATATTTATAGGGAAATACTGAAAACCCCTAATAATAATCTTGATACGACTAAATCTCTATTACCATAATTATAATTATCATACTAATAAATAATAAGAGAAACCCCAATAGGCGGGTTTCTAAAAATCCACCCCTCTTGAAAGCAACCTTGCCCTCAAGGTTGCAGTTGACTTCCACCTCCTTGAAATTCCGCTTTCTTCGTTTCCAATTGCGCTCGATCACTTGAATGAACTCTTCTCGCACCAGTCCAACTTTCCTCGACTCTCCTCCACCCAAGTGACATGTGTCACGTTCTTAATGGCCGAACAATTCGCTTTCTTCCTCTCTTTCAAAGTCCACGTAATAAAAGTCGTAGAACTGTTCTTCATTTTTCTTCATAAATTCTTCCGCGGTTTTGGTGAAGATCACCCAACCTTCTCTTTCTTCACCTTGGACTCAGCCCACCATTGCTGGAAAGAGAAAGTTGTGGCCCAAACAAATAACAAGTCCATTTATGTTCTATTCTTCTCCACATGGGATTGGCTTAAACTCTTTTGAAAGCCCACAACTTTCTTTCTTCAAGTAACCTTCCTGCAATTAAAATCCAATAAGATAGCCCATGTAAGGCTCATAATAACCTCTTTGTTTGCCCTATTCATCCATTTCTCCTCAGTTGCTGCTAGCCCACCTTCAATGCCCTCAATCCCATGTAAGACCCATTCCGACCCAAACTGAGACTTGTTCAGATAATCCAATTGCGCGGAAGCAAGCCTAGCTATTTCTTTCATTCTATTCAGCCCGCGAAGAAGACTCTCTTCTACTTTCTCCCATACATAGCTCACTCATCTCGGCCCATTAGTATGGAAGATCTGCACAACTTGGCCCAAACGAGAGAGCAGGGGCGGCTGCTGCTCTTGTGCTCCGTGGTTCAAAATTCTCGGCCCAACTGAACCAAAGACCCGAACCACCTCACGGACCAACAGACAGGGTTGCTCCTGCCTCGAGTTTGCGAAAGGGACGGCGCCGATCTAATTCTCCTCTTTAGACGTACCCTTCGCCACTTCCCCTGGCGGCAAACAACTCAACCAGCGGCAAGGAGACCCGGCCGCCCCTTCCGTATCTCGTCCCATCTCCATGGACACTACCGCCTTTGGAGCCGTCGATCGCCATGCCTCTACCGCCTGTCATGGCTCCAACAATACACTCCAGCAGCTCCTCCGTCATCGTCTTCCATGCCAGCAGAGCCATATCCAACACCTTCTTCCTTGGCAGTGTGCGATCCCTTGCCTTCTTCTCCCCCGGCGCCCTCCTTGATCGTTCTTCGGCAAACCCACCATTTCTGGCGACGCGTGAAGGAACTCCCCGCCCCCTGCATCTTTTCCTATTCCCGAAAATGCACGAAGAAGCTCAGCGCCGCCTCTCTTCTTCTTCTTCGGCGAATCCTTCGCCTACTTCCCCGGCAAGCAGCCCATCCCATGGTGAGGTGGCAAGCTCGACTCGGCAATCTCCGCCATCGACTCCGCCTCCTCATCAGTTGAAGTGCCACCAAAAGGCGACAAATCATCGCGCTTCTACTTCGATTCCAGCTCTGGCGGCCTCCTCTGCAACTCGCTCTTCGGCATGAGATCCATCCTGCAGAGAGGAGGCAAGCTTACTGCTGGCCTCGCTTTTTGCTTCTCCTCACCGTCTGCCCGCACCTCGACCTCAACTAGGGCTTCCGTCACTGTCGGGCAGATTAATGACTTCCTCACAGTTTGGAAATCAGCGATCGAGGTGGCTGGTGACGGCGACAATGCTTCGATCGTGTCATCAACCTATTCCTCTTCCGTCGTCGCCTCGCAGGACGCCGTTTCGTGTGCTCCGTTTTGTCTTCCGCGGGTCGCGGTCTCTAGATGCGCGATCGATGATGAACCGCGGCGAATCCGCTCCGCTTCTATTTAGCATCGTCCGCTAAAGCCCGACTCCCCTGTCGTCTCTTGCTTCACCTTTGTTAACTCCATCTTCTCTTCCGGCCTCTCTTTGCTTGGAACAGCAGCAGGGGCAGCAAAACCCCCTTCTTCTCGGTTATTCTTTTTCAAGACTTTCCACATCGGGCTCCTCCCATTATCCTCGACTCTCTGGTGAACTTAGGCCACTAATATAGATCCAAACGCAGCTGCTTGTCGAGGCTCAGGTACCTCGCTCTTCGTCGCCCTAGGATTCTTTTCGGAGACAGTAGAGACAGGGTCACCTTCATCATCGTTGGTGACAACCTTCCTTGGTGGCGATGTGGGTGAGGTAATGGAGGCGACCACTGCGGTGCCCGCCGCAACCCTTGTGTCACCATTTTTCGGCCCGGGTACGAATCCGGTCAGCAGCTCATCCTCCACTTCCTGCTTCTCCGGTCCAAGATCGCCCTCCATCTCGGCCTTGGTTAGCTGCGGTGCGTTGATCGCCGAACCGGGACCTCCTTCTCCCACCACTCAGCTTCATTGTCGTCCCACTCGAACGCCGCCAGCTGCTCCAATAGCTGGTCCATCTTGGTCTTCCACCTTCACGTAGACTCAGCGAAGTCCCTAGTTGAGAGTTCCGATGAACTCAAATTCGTGACCATGGCACTAATACCAATTGTAAGAAACACGCTTCTTCGAGTTTCTTACGGTTAACGTAACTTCATAGATAGAAGGGATTTTTGGGGTTAGAATAGAAATTAGGGATTTAGGAGAAGAGATTAGGGATTTAGATGAGAAAGAACATAATAGAATTGGGAATCGACCGAGGCCTTGGATTGGGAGGGAATAGAAATTAGGAGTTGAGAGGATAAACTAGGGTTTAGGTGATTCTTCTTAATATTGTTCTTGATTGATTATGATGTAAACCCAAAGTACATATTTATAGGGAAATACTGGAAAACCCTAATAATAATCCCGATACGACTAAATCTCTACTAACCATAATTATAATTATCCTACTAATAAAGAATAAGAGAAACCCCAATAGGCGGGTTTCTGACAACCTCAATCATTGAATTAAACAACACCCATAAACAATTATTCAACTCACATGACAGAAAACTACATGGTAGCTAGCTAGGGTTTCACAACACCCAAGTGAAAAAGAAATCTATTCCATGCCAGAAATAGGAGAAACACAAGGGGAAGAGGTAGAAACCATCATGAAGGAGGTTTACAATCGTTCTGGCACTTATGCTGAACTTCTCTTGGGGAGAATCTTCCCAAATCCACTCTTGGAGCAAAACCCTAGCCTCATTCTCCTTTGGTTCGTCTTTCTCTCTCTAAAATCTGAAGAAGGCTTTCTGTTATGGGACAATCCAAGAACCACATCGGTAACACAAGGGAAGTAACCCTTGTATATTAGTGTCCACCAAGATCAATTGTATGAGGCCTTTTGGGGAGGACACCCAAGAGTAAAACCGTGCGGGCTTGGCCCAAAGCGAACAATATCGTACTAATTGAGCAGGCCCCGTTATGACACTTTATAACTCAAAATGGGCTCCCCCTCTCTCTTTCTTTCAGCTCATCTTTTAAACAGGGAACGAGCTTAGTTCACGGCCGTGAACTCTGAAACGCATCCGTTAACTCAAGGTTGGCGCCAAAACGCACCGCTTTGCTTGCATGTGTTCACGATCCACAGCTCCTGCTCACGGGCTTAGTGACCATGAACACAATTAGCGTCAGTAACTTGCAAATTGGCCCTGGACACCTTGATGTTCACGGGCAACAGCTCCTCTTCACGGTCTAAGCAGACCGTGAACTCCCAGAAGAAACCGTGAACTGCCTCTTTTTCTCTTCTTCTCCCGGTTTTCGCTCCTTTTCGTCCAACTTTCGAATCCTAGGCTGGTTTCACCTATTAAATCCCAAAACATGCTAAAACACAAGAAACCTAGCGTAAAACCACCCTTTTAGGAACACAATCGCCACAAATGCCTAAGAAAAACAGGGGTAAAATATGTACAATTAGGCCCGAATCACTCCCCCACACTTAGATGTTTGCTTGTCCACAAGCAAACCATTTCACACAAGGTAATATTTCTACCTACGCAAATACTTTGGGGACAACTCAAAGGGCACAAACTGGGAATTCTCAATGGCTATTGGCAATTAATACATGGTCTGTTTCAAGCAATGCCGACATCCACCACAAACGACATTCGAGGCCACCAAAAGTGGGCAAACAAAAAGGTCTCACCTTGTCCATGGACCAATGCAAGTCTCAACAAAACCACTTATCAACCACAACCAACCATGCGTGGAATCCAAGCCTGAGGAACAAATGGGAAAGCAACCATGGTCCTCACTGGGAATGATATGACATCCAAAGGAAGGATGAATCACTCATTCTCGAGACCAGTGGGGTTGGGACCTTTTGTTGCAAAAAGATGTGCACAATCATTACTCTCAGCCCTGTCGTCTCAACACCATGGCGGCAACCTCTAAATGCTAGCGTTCACAGAATGGTTGTCATCACTAGCTTGTCCGGAGGTCTTAGACACGGGTTCATATTACTAGCAATTGTCTTGGACATGGGGAAAAGGCTTTTTGGGTGGTGGCAATCATGACGTGAAGTTATACATCTTCAACCTAAACCCGAAGGTTCTATGGTTTCGACTAAAACCCTTCTCTTCAACCAAAGGCCACTAGCATCGGCTGAAAACCTTATCTCTCCCTTCCAACATATCACCCGTCGTGAACTACATCAAAGCACTCTTCCTCGGTCAACTCTTGTTAGTACATTAAGGTTTGGTAGTGAAAGAGTTCTAAAATAATGTAGGGGTTTCAATGGATTGAGTGCCTAGAAACCCCTCCTAGAGCATACACTTTGGTTTTTCGTGGCACTCTCTACTTTATTACCCCATTTTATTACCTCTTTTTCGTTTCTCTTCTTTTTCTTTTCTTTCTTTTTCTTTTCTTTTTGAGGGGTGTACTAGAGAGTAAAAACACTTGTCCCCTATGAATTAACGACCAATGCTCTCTTTTTGTAGAACTCACTCCACCACTACACTTCATTTGTTCATTCCTAGAAAGAACCACACACAATCCTTCTATGTAGAACCTCAATGGAACTCGAAAGCGAGAGCTCGCACAAAGATGACTCATGTTTAGACACGAAGAAAGGATTGGGGGTCGTTCTATTAACACCATTAAGCTCACAAGCAAGAGGCTCCTAAATTGAGAACGACCCTCGAAGTCACAAAGCTTAAAGGGGTTGACGAAGAGATAACACATTTCGGGACAATCAACATTTGCGCGTGGACTAATCCTATGCCTCCATCATACTCACTAGTGACAATGGTGATGTTACTCGCCATGGTAAGAGGGATCTAAGCACACAAGAAGAAAATGATCGGCTTAAAGCTCACATGGCTACCCAGTCACCCCACCATCTATTCCAATTCACAAACACGAGATTGTAATGGAGGCTCTTCCTTTACCCGATTTTGCTGCACGCGAATGTCCTCTATGGTGGTTGTCCAGGTTGCTGTTGAAGTTTTCCATGTGTTAATGATCAAAAGCCAGTATGATTCACGTGTTTTGTGGCTATATGATATGTCCCCAAGGGTTGCATGATTAATATGTTTTGAGCTTACCTTGTATCTGACTTGGTTTGCTTGGGGACAAGCAAACGGTTAAGTGTGGGGGAATTTGATAACGATGTATTTGAACATGTTTGCACCCTTAGTTCTTATCCGTTTGCGGCTCGTGGTCGTGTATTTTTGGCCTATTTTACGTTGGGGTGGAGGTTGCGGAGCATTTCCATGAAACTTCCACACTCGTTCTCCAACCTCTCCTTGTACATCCTCGTGGGGTTAGGAAGAGGCGGAATGTACCCACTCACTGGCGATGCCTTCTTTGTCGCCTTCCTCTCACTCCTCGAGGGCTTCTTCTCTCTATCCTTTCGGTTGGTATCTTCCTTCTCAATCACTTCTTTAGTGGCAACTTCCGGAGTCACCTTCACACTCCCCACTTGAATTGCATTCACCCCGGCATGATCCTTAGGGTTCGCCACAGTTTGGGAAGGTAGAGCTCCCTTTGGTCTCTCGGTGAGGATTCCGGCAAGGTTGCCGATTTGCACCTTCAAACTTTGGAGGCTCGCTTAGTGGCTTCGGAGTCTCGCCTCAGCCGAGGTAAACTTGGTAGTCGCCACATCCAAAAATTGCTCTATCTTCTCGAACTTTTGGGTACTCGTACTCACAAAGGTGTTCAATACGTCTTCAAGCTTAGATAGCTTGTCGGGTTGTTGTTGAGTTTGAAACCCTAGGCCACCTTGTGCTTGGTACGGTTGTTGGAAGCTTGAGCTTTGGACTTAAGGCCTTTGTTGGATGAAGGTCGGGAGGTTGGTAATTTCCCGTGGCACCTTGAAAACCCAGGGGCCTTGGATTAGTCGGTAATGACCAAGCAAAATTAGGGTGGTTCCTTCATTCGGGGTTATAAGTATTGCTATACGGGTTGTTAGCCTTGGCATTTACCACGAAGTTGACTTGTTCCTCCGGAGCGGTTGCCTCCTTTATTGCTTGACACTCCACGATATCATGGCTAGTTCTCGAGTACCAGTCGCATGACATCACCGGTCGTTTTCCTTGCCTCTTATCTTCAAGCATTACCTATATCAACTTATCCAACTTCGCCTCAAGCAGAGCGCTCACTCCCACGCTTCTTACTCCCCTATCATTGCTTCTCCTCCCACTTCTAGTTGATCCCTAGTCGTACCCCCTGAGGGCCATCTCTTCAAGTAGCATGGTTACTTGAGGCAGAGCCATATTCATCAATTTCCGTTGACACAAGGATTCAATGAGAATTTTTGTCTTCTTGGGTTAGACCTATGTAGAAGGTTTCAATCCGGAACTGTTCTTCAAACCCGTGGTGAGGGCACTAAAGAAAGTAATCGGAGTACCGCTCGGTGGAGACCCTATACAACATGAAGCTGGTGCTTCAAGGGGACAGAGGAATTGAATTCCCTGAGGGCCTGCGACCCTCGGCATCTCTACGACCACAGGTCAACCCTGTACCAGTTGAGCCTGATCCAGAGGTTCCTCCCCCAAAGCAGACACCCAACAGAGCTCCTGGTAGTGGCCGACGCACCGCACCACCCCCATCATCTGCTAAATCATCATCAGTCGGGGACGGATCCTCTACCTCTAGACCCCACCTCGAGGAGCGAGTGGATCGCCTCGAGGCAAATTATGTGGGAGTCACTACTCGGACCAACCGAACCGCCAATCTCATAGAAAAGAAGGCTCGACGCTAGGGCCTCCTTTCATATAACGAGGAGTGATCTTGCCCACGACGAGGTAGCCATCGAGGGAGACATATGGTAGAGCCGATTTCTTTTGCCCCACTTCTCCACTTGCAAACTCTGAACTCTTTTTTTTCCTCCTTATATAGTGTGTGAACTAGTACCTTGT